TGTCTATCAGTTTTAGGACCTCCTCTCTCGTCACCTCAATCTGGCTCAGGTCTTTCAACACCCCTCCTGAAATCAGCGGTTCTGGAGTGGGCAAGCACTTCTCATCTTCCACAGTGAAGACGGAGGCAAAAAATGCATTTAGCTTCTCAGCCATTTCCCTATCATCCTTCAGTACTCCTTTTACCCCTTGGTCATCCAAGAGCCCCACTACCAGTGAAGGAGAGGGAAATGAGATGCCTCCTGCAAGTCCTTGTGGGTTTCCACTTGTAAATGCTATTTGGCTCAGGGAACAGTGCCAAATATTTTGAGTTAATGGATGTGTTTTGGAAGCTTCTCAGCCATTTCCCTATCATCCTTCAGTACTCCTTTTACCCCTTGGTCATCCAGGAGCCCCACTGCCAGTGAAGGAGAGGGAAATGATATGCATCTTGCAAGTCCTTGTGGGTTTCCACTTGTACATGCTATTTGGTTCAGGGAACCGTGCCAAATATTTTGAGTTAATGGATGTGTTTTGGGAACATGGCCTTGCACAGGTGTTACCTGTGCTGGATAAGACCTGGCAGCTGGATAAGACGCTAGCTAACATCTCCACATGCAAATGCTCCCTCCACTGTAGTTCCATCTCACTTACTTAAACTCACTCCAAATAGTGCACAAAATGTGCTGTATCCAAGTAAGGCCAGCTACACTTATGAGACTATCTTACTGCTTGTTGAACTAGAATCTGGGAGAGCCAGGTTCAAATCCCCACTCTGCAATGGAAGATTCCTGGTGGAACTTGGGCTAGTCACATGTTCTCAGCCTCACAGGAACCTTTAAGACCAACAAAGTTTAATTCTGGGTATAACCTTTCGTGTGCATCTGGTGAAGTGTTAATGCACACAAAAGCTGATACCCAGAATTAAACTTTGTTGGTCTTAAAGGTGCCACTGGAACTTTGTTCTATTGCTTCGAACCAATACAGCTACCCACCTGAATCTGCCTCACAGGGTTACTGATGTGAGGATAAATTGAAGGAGAGGAGAATGATGTAAGCTGCTTTGGGTCCCCAATGGGGAGAAAGGCAGGGTATAAATGAAGTGTAAAAAAATCCTGATGCCTGTGTCAGGTCTTCTCTGTCAATACAAAGTGGACTCTACCTTACCAGATGCAATAGTATTCTGTCCCATTTAGCCATTCACTGATGCAGGGTAGGACTGGCACCTGTTAAGTGTTTAACGTTGTCCAACCAATGCTGTAATACATGGAGGATACCACCAAGAACGCAGGACAAACATAGATCAGAATACTTAATTGCTGCTACAGATATCCTCTGAAGCTGGATTAGACTGTCTGACTGAATAAGCCCATTTGTATAATTAGATTGCTCTCAGTCTCGAGGTCTCTTACATTATAACTTCAGCATGTGAATTTTAACTAAAAATTTAAAAGAAATCTTCATGCATGACTCTACGGTCAGGAATTACTCACCAAGCCAAATCCTGTATCAGATCTCACAGATTTTAATAGAACTGGCATCTGAGACAACATACACAAGATCACATTTTTAAACTAATCAATGGGAATACATCACACCAAGCCTCTAAGATCACTGCAAGGCTCACACGTGAACAAATATATTGGCTTAAATTTTCCAGAGTATTCCCACTGACAGAAATACTTCCACCCTTTCCGTTATACGATTAAAGAAATGGATAAGGTGCTGTGTCTTTTCAACATACTCCAGTTCAATATTTCTTTAAAGCTCATTAAGATTTTGAGATTTAAAGTAGCAGTTTAATTTCTTTGGTTAAGACACAGTCTTTTGCAATTTACTATACAATCTTATAGAAAGTTACCCTAGTATAAACTCACTGATTCCAATGGGCCTAGACAGTACTAACTCTGCACAGGATTGCACTGTTAAGACTGCAGTGCTGTATGTATGTACTAGTCAGTAAGATTCAGTGAATTCACTGGGGCTACTTGAGACTAAACATGTTTGCGATCAGGATCTGAGAGTCCATTCAGAAGATTCATATAACCCAATTGGCTAAAGATAATCAGTTCTTTACAGGATAATTCCTCCATGTTATAAAAAACTGCACAGTTATACAACAGTCCATAGAAATCCTTTGTTAGATGAAGGTATTTACTAGAGACCTAAGTAGCATCACACAAATTACGATCTTGGTCTCTCTTTCTTGCCTTTGTACAAAGCTAACAGAGAAACATTGGCTACTTTGACAACTTTGAAGCGAACTCCTGGGATGTCACCTACAGCGTGACCCTTCCGACCAAAGCCAGCTACCAGGACTTCATCATTCTCCTATAGCATAAAAAGAAAGCAAGAAACGCTTATTCACAACAGTTATACAACCAAAGATATCACGTTCCCTCATTAGAACTTAAAGCACTATATATCAACCAATGTTATTCTTAACTGTTCCCCTAATGCAATTACCTCAATGAAGTTCAAACAACCATCATTAGGAACAAAAGCTGTTATTTTCTTGCCATTTTTGATGAGCTGGACTCTGACACATTTTCTGATGGCTGAATTCGGCTGCTTGGCCTCCACACCACTGAAACACACAAAGTGGAAAGAGGGATGGTGTTATGAGACATATTTCTACAAACTGAATTTAGTAATTAAATACATCGCTATCCATATTTCGAGACTGTGTGATCACAGCTGGGACTTAAATTTGTCTTAAGACGAACACAAAACACCTCCTATCGTGGTATTATAGAAAAAGTGGCACTGGCATAGTGCTGGAAGGACTACGCACAGAGCACCATTTATAATCTAGATTTATGTTAATTAACAGGTCAAACTCATGGATTCTTGCTCAGAAGTATCCTGAATTCAATGCAACTTACTCCAAGCCTTAATTCTATGCAGGGTAAAACCAAGAAAAAAACCTTACTTTTAATTAAGGTAAAATATGTGTATTAAATCTGAAAAACGTTACAAACAACCCCTACTGACCTGCACCAGCCTCTCTTTTTAAACTAGACTAATAGATGAGTCTGTGGCCAGTATGCTGATATAACAATTTTAAATTTGTTATGGAACTTTGTTATGGAACAACAGGTAGACCTGGCGTGCGGGACCGAGACCTGGGTATGGAAAGGGGAGACCGTAGCTCTCTCCCAACTTGCCCCACCTGGGTTTTTGGTCCTCCACCAATCACGGACTAGGGGGCGGGGGGGAGGAGTGGCGATGTTTTTTCGGGAGGCTTACTCCTTCAGGGCGCTCCCCCCGTTAGAGATTGTGGGTATGGAGTGTGTTGGCCTGGTGCTGGGGACCGAGGAGAGTTTGGCAATCTAGCTAGTGTACCGACCACCTAATGCACCAGCCAGTAGCCTGCCGTCCCTGCTGGAGGCCGTATCAGGCTGGGCGCTGAATCACCCTAGGCTCTTGGTCTTGGGTGATTTCAACGTCCATGCCGAGGACGCGGCCTCTAGCCGGGCAATGGACCTAGTGATGTCCATGGTGTCACTGGGACTCTCCAAGTTCGTATCGATGCCCATGCATCAGGCTGGGCACATGCTCAATCTGATCTTTGCGGGGGGGATTACAGTGGACCGGATTACTGCTGCGGCAGTACCATGGTCGGACCACTTTGCCCTGAGGGCCCATCTGAATGTTCCACCCCGACCCTGTTTAGACGGCGAGCGGATTTTTGCTCGCCCGCAGAGTCAAATGGACCCTGCGCAGCTCCAAACGGCTCTACAGGATCCAAGGCCCCCTGGCGGCTCACTGGATGAACTTGTGGAGGACTGGCATAGCCGACGCTCCACAGTCATCGACGAGATCGCTCCCTGGCGCCCACTGCGTGGCGTGCTCGCACTAGGCTTGCCCCTTGGTATACCCAGGGGTTGCGGCCAATGTTCCCTCTAAGCTGTGGAGGCTGTGAGCAAAAACTCTACTTTGTGAGCTACTGGCATTAAAGCTGTGAGCGAGCAATTTGGCTACTGCATAGATTAGTTTGCTCTGGAGCTGTCCTTCCTGAGCCGAGACAAAAATGTGTGAGCCAGAGGCTAAGAAACGGTGAGCTAGCTCACACTAACTCAGCTTAGAGGGAACACTGGTTGCGGCTTATGAAGCAAGAGCTGAGACGGCTAGAGAGATGGTGGCGCCGTGCTCGCGACGAGGCGACAAGAGCATCTTATAGGACATTTATGAGATCCTATGAGATGGCAGTCAAGGCTACAAAGAGATTTCTATGCAGCCATGATTGCATCTGCAAGCTCAGGCCCAGCCCAATTGTTTAGTACGATTCGGTCGTTAACAGCTCTGCCATAGGGCAGACAAAACAGTAGGGAATGGGACATTGGCTGTGAGGCATTTGCGAGCTATTTCACAGACCAAGTCTTAGTGCTCCGCCATGACCTCCCCGCCACAGTTGAAACAGTTAGTGAACTTGAGGCCTTTGCACGTCTTTGAGTCCGAGTTTAGAGTGTTTTGACCAGCTCAGCCTGGAGGAAGTCGACAGATTGCTCGTATCTGTGCGCCCAACCACATGCAGCCTTGATTCGTGCCCTTCCTGGCTCATTAAAGTGGGCCACGAGGGGTTCCGAGGTGCCTTGAAGGAGATAGTCAACAGATCCCTCTCGGAGGGGCAGTTCCCCGAGGCACTCAAGGAAGTGATGGTCCGCCCTTTCCTGAAAAAACCAGCTCTGGACCCGGCTGAATTGGCCAACTATCAGCCGGTGACCGAGAGGGCAGTGGCGACATAGTTACAGGGCTTTCTGGATGACGCTTCCGTCCTGCACCCATTCCAGTCTGGCTTCCGCCCGGGACATGGAACAGAGACAGTGCTGGTCGCCCTCACTGAGTGACGACCTCCGTAGGCATCTGGATCGAGGCGGTGTGGCGGCACTGTTGCTGTTAGATCTGTCGGCTGCATTCGACACGGTCAACCACCAGCTGCTGACCCACCGCCTCGCCGACACGGGGATTCAGGGGCTCGCCCTTCAATGGCTTGCCTTTTTTCTCCAAGGTCGGGGACAGAAGGTGGCAATCGGGGAACAGCAGTCCCAGAGGCGCCCACTTGAATGTGGTGTGCCTCAAGGGGCGGTGCTTTTCCCAATGTTGTTTAACATCTATATGCGCCCCCTTGCCCAGATTGCCCAGAGGTATGGGCTTGGGTGTCATCAATATGCAGATGACACCCAGCTCTATCTGATGTTGGGCGGCCGGTCGAACTCTGACCCTGAAGATCTGCACTGGGCCTTGCAGGCCATGGCTGGGTGGCTCAGGCTGAGCCAGTTGAAACTAAACCCGGCGAAGACGGAGGTCCTGTGCTTAGGTCGGGTCGGGGATGGGGCTCCCTCTCCCGACCTTCGATGGGGCACCTCTGGTGCCAGCGTCGGAGGTTAGGAGTTTGGGAGTGCTCCTGGATTCCTCCTTAACTATGGAGACCCAGGTGGCAGCCACTGCCAAATTGCC